AATCGACTGGGAGAGGTCGAGATGCCGTAATCCATATGAATTCCAGATGGCTGCAGCGACCCAATCGACGGAGCGCAGTCCTTGCACCAATTATCTTCTGCAGTGTCCACTTCAATGTTCTCTGTGGGACCAAGATCCTTGACTCTGAATGCAGAGTTAAGTTCAGCAATAACTCGGTCAATATCAGCATCATGCTTGGAGGCAATAACACCGTCATCAACGTAGATAGGGAGAATGATGCGAACAGCTCCATCTGAATAGACAAAGCATGAACGATCAGACTGGAGACACTTGAAGCCCATTTGTTGGAGCTTCTCTCGCAGCTTCTTGTGCCATTGCCTACCAGCCTGCTTAAGTCCATAAAGAGACTTTCGCAGTTTGAGAAGCTGGCCAGGTCTGCCTTGGGGAAACCCTTCAGGTTGCGTCATAAAGACGTTCTCATCAAGGTCCCCATTGAGGTAGGCAGAGCTGAAGTCAATGGAACGAAGCTGGAGATCATGCTGAGCAGCAAGAGCAAAGATGGTGCGAAGAGTGGCGGGTTTGATGGTAGGAGAGAAGATTTCGTTGTAGTCAACACCAAAGCGCTGACCACGACCGTCTGCAACCAGTCGGGCTTTGTAGCGCTCAATGGTCCCATCAGACTTGTGTTTGATCACAAAGACCCACTGAGAGCGAATAGGCTTTACTCCAGGAGGTGGATCAACAACATCCCAAGTGCAGTTTTCCAAGAGAGAGTTAATCTCGGAGACAGCTGCATCCTTCCACAAATGAGCATCAGAGTGTTTCATTGCCTCATAGTAAGTGCGAGGATGACCAGACTGAACAGCAGCTTGCGCTGACTGCACAGCTGCAATGTTAGCTTGCTGAAGTGTTTCGCTCATTGGATCTCCTTCATGCGCAACAACAAGAGCACTGCCTGGCTGTAATAACAACTCATCATCAGATGACTCTGAATCTGAGGGTACAGCAGGCTGTGGCTCCCTGTGTGTTTTCCACCACTCGCCAGGAGGTCTATGCTCCGTAGTTTGATTGTGGAAGCGACGACGTGCAGCAATACCAACAGGTGAAGCTGCAGGAGGTGGTGAAGCAGAAGGCGATGGTGAAGGAGTATCCGGTGATGCAGCCCTTGATGCGGGCAAGGCAACTCATCATCAGATGACTCTGAATCTGAGGGTACAGCAGGCTCCCTGTGTGTTTTCCACCACTCGCCAGGAGGTCTATGCTCCGTAGTTTGATTGTGGAAGCGACAATGTGCAGCAATACCAACAGGTGAAGCTGCAGAAGGTGGTGAAGCAGAAGGCGATGGTGAAGGAGTATCCGGTGATGCAGCCCTTGATGCGGGCAAGGAGCGCAGGTGGGAAGGCACGGGGGATGCTGGAGGAGCAGGTGCATGACGCTGTTTGGGTCTGTCATCCTCCTCGTCAATAACGACAACAGTAGGAGGATTGGGCAGCAAAGGCAGGCTGTGAAGTGCAGAGGGATCTATCCGAGGACATTTCTTCATCTGCTCAGCACTGCTCCCAGGGAAGTAGCGTTCGTCAAACACAGCTCGCTCTGAGATCACCATCTTACGCGTCACTGGGTTGTAGAATTCCCAGGCCTTGTACTCTGAGGGATAACCCACAAAGATACACTTCTCAATATGGGAGCCAGAGGCATCCCGTTTATCTTTCTGCACATGCACATAGGCAAGGCAGCCCCACACCTTAAGATGAGACACATCTGGTTTCTGCTTATGCCAGAGCTCTTGTGGAGTAGTATTTCCTCCGATGTGAGCAGAGGGATGCATGTTGGATACGTGAATATATGCACCAACAGCAAGAGCCCTGAACGAAGCAGGGAGATTTGCTTCATGTAGCATCGCAGTTGTGTGCTCATCTATAGTGCGATTACCACATTCTGCTGTCCCATTCTGTTGCGGTCTATTCCTGGTTGAATGGCGATGCACAATGCCCTCTGAAGCAAGGAAGTTCCTGAACTCATTGGACATGTACTCGCCACCCTTATCATCCTGAAATCCTTTGATCTTTCGCCCAAAGTGGTTCTCAGCATAAGCTTTGAACAACTTGAATGCACGGAACACGTGACTCTTGCGTGCCATGTGGTAACACACTTTGAAGCTAGTGTGATCATCAATGAAGATAATACGATGCTTCCACCCCTCACGGGTGTGGACCTTGTATTCCTTCAGATCAGAATGAACCAGATCAAGAGGATGTTCAGAACGATGACCAGGTGAATGGAAAAGGACCTGCATTCAGCTTTCCTGCAAGGCAGGGTTCACAGATGGGATCTGGTTTCTGGATTGAAGTCAACTTCGCACCAGTGACCAGATTCTTGCTAAGGATGCTTTTGGTATCAGCATAAGAGTGATGGCCAAGTCGACGATGCAACAAGTCCAAGTCCATAGGCAAGGTCCCAGAAGTGAACAGGGCTGAACCAGAAGAGGGGATCTCGACCTCTCTCACAAATGCCTGGTTCCTCTCATTGATATCTGCCTCAAACAAGAGCTCGTTGTTTCTGGTGAATGAAACAAGATCTCCATCAAATGTGGCGCAATAGCCATGATGTTTGGTGAGGTAGGTAATAGATATCAGATTATGAGACAATTGAGGAACAAACAAGACATCGGTAAGGATAACAGGCCGAGCACTGCGTCCGTGTATAAGTGGCTTCAACTCTATCTCCCCCACTAGTTCAGAATAGACTACAACTCCGTTGGCAACTTCGATGGCAACCCTGTAGTAGCGGGCATTTTTAAGACGATCTTTGCAGTTCGTCATGTGCGATGTGGTTCCTGAATCCGCATTCCATCGAAAGTCAACAACAGAGAATGCAAAGTGGGAGAGAAGACTTGCATTTGAAGCCACTTGGGACTTTGCATCTGCACCATTGCCTTTGGCCTTCCCCTTGTTATTTGCAAGGTTCCTGATGAGGTTGTGGAACTCTTTGCATTTAAGGAGGACATGGCCAGTTTGAAGGCATCCAGCACATGTGACTGGAGGTGCAACTGCCAGTGCAGCAGAGGGTGTGGGGACACTGGATACAGTGGCCATGGCTGCTCCAGAGAGAGGATTCCTCTCAGTGGAGTCTCCTTCCTGTCCAGCAGTCTTGAACACCTGATAGTTTGCATAGGCTGTCTCAACTTCACTGGGACTGAGAGTGCCAGTAGACATCTCGAAAGGTGCCTTGAGAGAGTTGTAACCACTCTCATCAGGAAGGGCCATAAGCAGGACCACTGCTTGGAGTTCTGCATCGGCTTGATCTATGCTAAAGCCTTTGGGTCTGGACTCCTTTAAGGAGTTCATGGCAGCAGAGACACGACCAATAAGAGACAGAAGCGACTCATCCTCCTTGAGTTTAATGGAGGTGAGTGTCCTGTAGGCATTGAAGTGAGCTCCAGCCTTCCTTGGAGCGAAGATTGACCCCAAGGCCTCCCATAAAGCTTTTGGGTCGTCCTCATGCTGCATTACAAGTGGCTTGACACTCTTGGACAACATGGACCACAAGATGCCAGCACATTTGTCCCTTTCAATTTCAGAATGCCCTTCACCACCAAACTTGGTAGTGCAATAGAAGAAGCATTCTTTGGCTCTAAGATAAGCTTTTGCATCACTCCTCCAGTCAGAGAAGATGGACTGATTGTCCAAGACAGGCATGACACGTGCAATGGAAGACATGATGGGGAAATGAAGGAATGCCCAGAAATGAATGCTAGAACCACCAGAGACTGGTGGCACCCTCAGGAGTGTGTGTGGCAAAGAAAAGGTAGGTAAGGTAACTAGCTGATTCTAATGAACACCCAGTTGTGAGGCACACAGACCCTAATCCCAGATTCAACGGATTGACTACCGTTTGTTGTCTGGTGAACTGAAGACTACCTCGCAAAGAGGAATTGTCCCAACAGTTGGTTCCTATCTACAAAGCCACACCACTGAAGGGCAGAAACTGTCACAGAGTGGCAGAGAGGGCAGAGAGAGAGCAGAGGCAGAAGAATGAATGGAATCTCAGAATGACTGACTCTGATAGACCTAGAAGCCGGGGCCCATAACCTGTTAGAATCAGGCAAGCACAGTGGTCTGAGTCAACAGTGAGAAACTCGAATTGAAGAGAGATACAAGACAACTAACCTGAGTCAACAGTGAGAAACTGGGGACTCAGGCTCTACACTAGGCTACTTATATACACAATGCCATGCACAGCCTCGAGCTGTGCCTGTCACAACGCGCAGCAGTGCGCAGCAATGCACAGCAGTAAGGCTGTGCACATGGATACTACAATGGAAACCACCAGATCCATTAGGATACCAAGTGTTTCACATGTCTAAACTAAGTGTCCATGAAACAGAACAAGAGAATGAGAATGCTGGAAGTCCCACACTTCAACAATGAAGCCCAAGAGTGGTACATTCGAGCTGTGTGAGTGTAGGTAGAAGATGAGGACGAGGAACTACAAATATGAAAAGAGGCTATATATATGTGTAGGGGGAGAAAGGAAGCCGAAAGGCCTGACGCTATGTGTCGCATTGTGTCTCGCTTGCATAGACCGTGTTTGGCAGGTCAAACACCCCTATAACAATATCAGTTGTGCCTGCCGCAATCATGGCATCCCATACTCAACGGGCCGTGATCTTTGGAATAAATTCCAGGACACCAGTTCCACTGCAAACCGCTGGAGGAGTGCTGTGTGGGCACTGTTTCACAGGACCCAATTTGGGTCATGGTGTGGGGATCATCGCAAAAGGGGCAAAAGGGCCGCTTATTGTTCTCGAGTATCCAGGAGGGAAGGTGGGGGTATGAATTCAGGAGAGATACATCAAACAGGTGCTAGAGGGTCCCCTCCTCCCATTTTTTAACAAAATGAAGAGGTCCTGGCCCAATTTCAAGTTTCAGCAGGACAGTGCACCAGAACACCGAGCCAAAGTCACGCACAGATGGCTCAAGGAACATCGCATCCCCATTTTTGTTGGAGGTCCCTTTGGGAGTTCCCTTCACACTGTCGGCAGAATAGCTCAGTGGTTAGAGCATAGGTGGCACAATCACTGAAGGGTCCCTGGTTCAATTCCAGGTTCAGCCATTCTTTTGCAATTTCATAATTATTCCTATGGTTTCATAGCTATGCACTTTCATTTGTATTTAAGCTATAGTATTCTACTGAATTTACTCAGTTCTTCTGTGAACTTCGCGATCTACAGAGAAATTCCAGTGATGAGTGCAAGAGTGACAGTGGAAAATAAGCTAAGGATTTTCTGGAATTGCTGCCCCTTTATGTCGCTTGGATCTCGCGGGAGCCGGGAGACCGCACTTGCACAGCAACTAAGAATGTAAGTAGATCGCGCAAGAGAATGGAAGTAAGTCTCGCACAGTCCGACTGTGGAGATGGTCCCTGGTCAGGAGTGGCAAACAGGGCGCAGCACCCCGTGTTTTGCGAAGGGTGCCCAGCGCCGCAACGTCAGGATGGTGCAAAGTCCCTGGCCAGGAGTGACAAGCAGGGCGCAGCGAATGGAAGTAAGTCTCGCACACACTGTGGACGGAAATAGTGAAATTCACCCCATTTTTCACCCTCAAAAAGTGAGAAATTCACCGTGAATTTCACGGTCAAAAAGTGAATTTCACTGCAAAAGAGGGTGAAAAATTTCACGTACAAAATGTCCCTTTTCACGGTAACATTTCACATACTTTCCAAGTGAAAATTCACGCCATTCTGGGGTACCTTGTGCCAAAAGGATATTCACTATTCTTATCATCCAGACAAGGTACTTACTAGTCATTTAAGTAAGTTACTGTTAACCCTCTCATGTAAGGACCTCAGTATAGTTGCTAACAGACAACTATAAGGAGAACTCAAATAAATTGTTTAAATTATTGCAACTGATCAGAATCGAACTCACAACCTCCTGGGATTGTCCAAAATGCTACAACAGACAAAATAGCCAGTACACTAAAGCAGTCATAAAGCTGATCTCACAGAATTCGAAGACAGGATCCTGGCTCAGATACAGGGCCTAATCTCTAGGGCTCCTTCTAGTCCCGGTTGTCATCGAGTTGTCTACTTGATTCTGAACCATAGCTGAATCTATCAGTTACAGTCAATGACTGGAGGAGCGATGCAAAAGCTTATCTTAAAGCCAAAGAGTGCTTCTTCTATTGCACCACTAATTTTGGTGGTAAGGGCACACTGAACTTGAACGGGACAAGTGTGCTGGCATCTTGTGGTCCATGTTGTCCAGAGGTGTTAAGCCACTTGTAAAGCAGCATGAGGACGACCCAAAAGCTTTATGGGAGGCCTTGGAGACAATCTTCGCTCCAAGGAAGGCTGGAGCTCACTTCAATGCCTACAGGACACTCACCTCCATTAAACTCAAGGAGGATGAGTTGCTTCTGTCTCTTACTGGTCGTGTCTCTACTGCCATGAACTCCTTAAAGGATTCTAGACCCAAAGGCTTTAGCATAGATCAAGCTGATGCAGAGCTCCATACAGTGTTCCTGCTTATGACCCTTCCTGATGAGAGTGGTTACAACTCTCTCCAGGCTCCTTTCGAGATGTCTACTGGCACTCTCAGTCCCAGTGAAGTCGAGACAGCCTATGCAATCTATCAGGTGTTCAAGACTGCTGGGCAGGAAGGAGACTCCACTGAGAGAAATCCTCTCTCTGGAGCAGCCATGGCCACTGTATCCAGTGTCCCCACACCCTCTGCTGCACTGGCAGTTGCACCTCCAGTCACATGTACTGGATGCCTTCAAACTGGCCATGTCCTCCTTAAATGCAAGGAGTTCCACAATCTCATCAGGAACATTGCAAATAACAAGGGGAAAGCCAAAGGCAATGGTGCAGATGCAAAGTCCCAAGTGGCTTCAAATGCAAGTCTTCTCTCCCACTTTGCATTCTCTGTTGTTGACTTTCGATGGAATGCAGATTCAGGAACCACTTCGCACATGACAAACTGCAAAGATCGTCTCAAAAACACCCGCTACTACAGGGTTGCCATCGAAGTTGCCAACGGAGTTGTAGTCTATTCTGAACTAGTGGGGGACATAGAGTTGAAGCCACTTATACACGGACACCGGCTTTGATTTATCCGTATTCTGACTGACGGTCCCCGCCGTGCAGTTCACTAAAATCAACAAAGTGATGCGCTACATCCACCTCCTCGAGCCGGCGCAGGTTCCACGCAACAACGAGTTCAATTTCCGCAACCGCGCCAAGGTGCTCGTCATGGACTCCTCAATGCCAACATAAAAATGAACTACGTAGTGAGTTATCACAAAGTTTTGAATGAGCGGCATTGATGATTTGTTGTAGGCGCTGAATGTGAACGCAAGCGCCAACACTGGTGAAGCGCTCAACCTTGATCCCAAGAAGCCATTCTGTGGGACCAAGATCCTTGACTCTGAATGCAGAGCTAAGTTCAGCAATAACTCGGTCAATATCAGCATCATGCTTGGAGGCAATGACACCGTCATCAACGTAGATAGGGAGAATGATGTGAACAGCTCCATCTGAATAGACAAAGCATGAACGATCAGACTGGAGACACTTGAAGCCCATTTGTTGGCGCTTCTCTCGCAGCTTCTTGTGCCATTGCCTGCCAGCCTGCTTAAGTCCATAAAGCGACTTTCGCAGTTTGAGAAGCTGGCCAGATCTGCCTTGGGGAAACCCTTCAGGTTGTGTCATATAGACACTCTCGTCGAGGTCCCCATTGAGATAGGCAGAACTGAAGTCAATAGAACGAAGCTGGAGATCATGCTGAGCAGCAAGAGCAAAGATGGTGCGGAGAGTGGCGGGCTTGATGGTAGGGGAGAAGATTTCGTTGTAGTCAACACCAAAGCGCTGACCACGACCGTCTGCAACCAGTCGGGCTTTGTAGCGCTCAATGGTCCCATCAGACTTGTGTTTGATCACAAAGACCCACTGAGAGCGAATAGGCTTTACTCCAGGAGGTGGATCAACAACATCCCAAGTGCAGTTCTCCAGGAGAGTGTTAATCTCGGAGACAGCTGCATCATCCTTCCACAAATGAGCATAAGAGTGTTTCATTGCCTCATAGTAAGTGCGAGGATGACCAGACTGGACAGCAGCTTGCGCTGACTGCACAGCTGCAATGTTAGCTTGCTGAAGTGTTTCGCTCATTGGATCTCCTTCATGTGCAACAACAAGAGCACTGCCTGGCTGCAATAGCAACTCATCATCAGATGACTCTGAATCTGAGGGTACAGCAGGCTGTGGCACCCTGTGTGTTTTCCACCACTCGCCAGGAGGTCTATGCTCCGTAGTTTGATTGTGGGAGCGTCGATGTGCAGCAACACCAACAGGTGAAGCTGCAGGAGGTGGTCAACCCATACTCTAGCTCTCCAAGCAAATATTGAATCCATGCAATCTCCGTGCCAGCATCAACTCCTGCAACATACTCTGTCTCTGTAGTGGAAAGAGACACAGTTGTTTGCCGTTTGCTTCTCCAGCTCACTGGTCCACCAGCCATCATCAAAACGAAATCCGACATTCCATACTGCTCAAGCATGTTTACAGCATACTAGGGCTGCCCTTTGAATGCACCTCTATTGTGCCAGGTCATGCTTTTCAAAATGGCAGCCATTTGAAATTGAATGCACCTCTGTTCGAGAATGTAAAGAATTGCGGTGGGGACATCATGTGTTTCAAAATGCAAAGGAATGCAACAAGATCACGCGTTTCAAAATGTAACAGAATACAACAAGGTCACGCATTTCGAAATGTAAAGCACTGAGTGGCTGCTGGAGAGGTCAATATTACCTCCGAGCAGGATCTGAATATGTAGCTCATCAGGCTATACTCTGGGACTGCGCTGGAATTGAAAGTGTCCGAAAATGCAAAGATTTGCAGTGGGGACATCACACATTTCAAAATGTAAAGGAATGAAATAAGGACATGCCTTTCAAAAGGTAAGGGAATTGCAGACAGGAGTGAAATTTCGAGAATTTTCCTGCGCATTACCGGATCGAGGTTGAACACGCTCAGTGTATCGTTGGCAGAACCTATAGTCAGTAGATGGTCCGACCTGACGACAAGTTTGGGGTTCAAGTTGGGTAAAATCTTCATCGTTACAACCTACCTGGGCCAATTTAGCATAATAAAGAAGGGAACAGTGAACGACCTGAGAGTAGTATTGATTCCATGGAAATTATCAAGAAAGATGGTGATCTACCCTCTACTGGACATCGTGCTGCAGCACCATTAGAATTGAGACATTCTGATCTAAAGGAATACAAAGTCTTCACCCAGGGTTGGAGGTATCGTGTTCTCTTCATTGATGATCACACTGGCTTCAAAGCTGCAATGCACATGAAGCCCAAGAGTAGTACATTCGAGCTGTGTGAGTGTAGGTAGAAGATGAGGACGAGGAACTACAAATATGAAAAGAGGCTATATATATATGTGTGTAGGGGGAGAAAGGAAGCCGAAAGGCCTGACACTATGTGTCGCATTGTGTCTTGCTTGCATAGACCGTGTTTGGCATGTCAAACACCCCTATAACAATATCAGTTGTGCCTGCCGCGATCATGGCATCCCATACTCAATGGGCCGTGATCTTTGGAATAAATTCCAGGACACCAGTTCCACTGCAAACCGCTGGAGGAGTGCTGTGTGGGTTCTACATATGCACATAGGCAAGGCAACCCCATACATGCAGATGAGAAACATCTGGCTTCTGCTTGAACCAAAGCTCATGCGGTTTTATCCTCTGGAATGTGAGCAGTGGGATGCATGTTAGCAACATGAATGGAAGCATTCACTGTAAGCATCTAAAAAGATGGAGGCAGGTTTGCTTCATGAAGTATAGCCGTTGCATGTTCATCAACAGTGCAATCAGCACATTCTGCTGTCCCGTTCTGTTGCAGTCTATTCCTCATCGAATGACGGTGCACAATGCCTCAGAGGCGAGATAGTTCTCAAACTCCTTAGACATGTACTCTCCACCTTCATCCCCCTGAAGTGCCTTGATTTTACATCCAAAATGATTCTCAGCATAAGCTTTGAAGATTTTGAATGCATTGAATGTATCACTCTTACGCTTCATGTGCAAAGTGTTGAAGTATGGA